TTGGTCAGCAAGATATTAGGTGTAGCGTACCCACAACACGGCACTGATTGGTCGTTTGAAAGAATGACAATCTGATACCGAGGTAATGTTTGCACAAGCAGCGGTTACTGCGGCTCTTTTGGTGAGCAAAGTTATGTATGTGGGTTCAGGTCATGCCTAAAACCGTTAAAAAATTGGAAGAATGGCATCCTGGGAATTGGATATTCTGACGAATGGTGTGATACCATGCTAAGCGAGTGTTTATGTGATCGGAATCAGGTTCACTACAAAATCTATCCTCCAAAAGATGAAACGACTTTCAAGTGGCACGATAAAAACTGGCATTGGTAGAATGGATTGAATTGGGGCATCCATATCCGGATTTGCCTGTCACTAGGGCCTCCGCGAGGACAGGTAAAGGACGGCTGCGCCTACAGAAGGACCATGGGTAGCTTGTGCTGCATCACCCACAATTCCACCCACACACCCTATATTCGGTGTAAACACGAAGGAATAAGACCTGGATGCATGCGGTTGGGAGCCCCGTTTCAACAACGGAGCCTGCCCACACTCCACCATTAGCTTAGTGACATGTGCAATTTACTAGATTATCCAAATGGGCATTTAAACGAGATACAAAAGCATTAAGACAATATAGCAAACCAACCACCTGCAATAAAGAAACTCAACACGCAAACATGTAGTTAGTAAATCGAATGCAGTGAACCTACCAACGATGCGCCGGTACTGTTTACATTCTCAGCAGCACCCGTCGTCGTTTAGACACTGGCCACACTCGTGGCTCACTCGCGACCGCATGTGCTATAGCGCCATGCGCTCGACTTCGATGGAGTACACTCCATCAGCGCCTGTCGCTTCCGCACATGTCGATTCTACTCCGCAAGCGCGAGGGCTTTCTCAAGCACCACGGTAACCACCTTCGTGATCAGATCGCGTCATACACACCGATCAACCGCCTTCGATTCCCAACACTTGAAACCGACATTAGAACGTGCTAAAGTCACGTTGATCATCTGGTCACGAAACTTCGCTTTCCGCACTCACCGCTTCCCCACACTCAGCTGTCCAGATAACAGCTGTTTCGTTATCTGCGTCGAATCCATACTTTACACGTGACGGAGCCATCCCAGATGTCTCAGCAAAAGTACGCAGTCAACTGCATACATCCCACTTTGTCGCAATACCTCCGCGTCTGCGTAGGATCGGTCGCAAATAATATTGATGGAACCGCTTAAGATATCTCACATCTCACCGGTACATCCTCCATTTTTCGCTGCCGTATAGAAGAACGGACAGCACCATGGATTTGTACACCATCAGCTTCATGCCAACGGTAAGCTGGTGGTTGTTCCACACTCGGTATTCAAGTTTCCCGAATGCCGCCTTTGCCATCGATACGCCGATACGAAGCTCACTGTATATTTGCTGGCCAGTCGAAATCACAATCCCAAGAAGCGGGAAGTGACAAACAATTTTTAATTTCAAGTATCCGTCGGCCAAAGCACGCCAATCATTGGTAGACGCAATAGCGACCAAGTGTACGCACCCAAAAGACTGGGGGTGTTCTTCTGGTTTCCAATCAAACAGGATGCACTGGTGAGCTTGGTAATGATACAAACAGATTATGCAACCACTTGGGGTCGAATGGCCAACAGACGGTCGATTCATGCAGGAATCCACAAGCGTAACTGCGAAACACGATCCTCCTTCTTACAATAGATGTCAAGTAGCGTCTGGTTAATGCGTTCTACTTTTGAGTCCAGAAGCAATACCGAGCGGAAAGTGGGTGGATTCGCAAGTGGCATTGACGAAGATGAAGCACTGTAAATAACAGGTCGTTTTATGGTAATAATTAGTTTATCCTAATCCAGCACTTGTTCTGCATTCGCACCATTTTTAACGTCAAATCAAAGGGTTTGATAATGAGCATTATTTCTTCTGACACAGGGTATGATAGCTTATTGCATCGTGATGGTCGACAAGACGAATATGTCGGCCAGTAGTTCGTATGTCATGTGTGTTAGTTCAGAGAGCATCTGAGTATCTTTTCCATACACGCACTGCACTTACACTTAGTACGCGACGAAGCGTCCGGTAAGGACAAATGGTGTGTCTGATCTACCAAGGTTCCTTTCGTGAATCTGGTCTTTGCCTAGTGGTATTACCCATGAATTAAACACTAGGAGGATACCTGCCTCACGCAGTCGTCCTAATGCTTACGTTCTTTTGTCTCAGAAACATAGATGTTGATTTGTCGCACCAGATCTAATTAGTCATATCATTTTCCCGATCGATCCGATTCAGTCGCGTATTGTCCATCAACTCAGAACTTTATTTTTACTGTGCGTCGATATCTCACTGTCCGAGCAGATTTGCTTTTCTGCTCCAAACTGCTCTTCCGCTTTTACTACACGCCTTTAATGATGCACTCAAATGATGGAATTTACATATATTAGAAACCAAACGTGCGTTATCTTTAAATTCTTCGTACATATTTCATGCGAGTGTGTTCAAGTTTGCCTGGGAAAACCGAAGCATTTCTTGGCTTATTCTATTTCCGGTCTGATTTTGCAAGATTCCGTTCCTATGAATTCAGCGTCCTTTGTCTTAGAACTATTGTTAGGTGAATTTGATTACACTTTTGGACGAGCCATTTTATGAGTACAGTGGGCAGAAAGCTCCAGAAGAACTCGTAATGGCGTGGGGATAATAAAAATTGTGTAAAGTCAAACGTGGTAGATTAATTTGGTGGGTGGGCTACGGTAATACATGGATGATCGAAGGGGGTAGGACAGAATGTCAGCGCAGTACCGCATGAAGGAAACTGGTGAAAAGTGCCTGCAGTCAAACAGGTGTGGGTTGGATAGCAGCAAAACACTAGGAATGTACGAAAAGTCCTGAACATAAGGAATATGTTTCGTGCTAATAGAGTATGAAAGATATTAAAACTACCCATGATCCAGATCTTGGTGCTTTGCTTTAAATGAAAGGCATAAGTTTATTATGGTACCGTCATAGTAAATTTACAATTTCTCACTCGATCCTTGCTTCAAGCTAGTAAAGTTAACTTAATTCATTAGTTAATGTTCATATGGTATGTATTACGCGCAGCCCCTCATTGGAATCCAACGCACTTCTCTTTTACTTGCGGGTCCAATTATGTTCACCTTATTGCTATCGTTTGCCACACGTATACCACGCGGATGTTCGTTCTACTGTTCTTCCTTTACGTATCTCTGCTTTCAGCAACTAGTATTCTTTCACAGTTCGTTTTATCTGCATTTCGCATCATCCTACACGTCACCTCGGCAAGTGATTGCCAATTTTATGGACAGTACTATTCTGCTCTCTGCCTTCGTCCTGTTTTCTACCCGCTTACCCGGATGTGCCCGTCATTGTGTCTTTATGACCTTCAATCTTATCAAGCGGCCGGCATGAGTGCTTTACATTATAGTCTTTTCATCTACTTTACCATTTTCTCTTACTCTGATTATCAGCCCTACTTGTCATACTTTAGAAATACAACTGACGCAACAGTTAGTTTTAGTCACAAGAAATTAATCAGTTGGTGTTAAATGAGTTAACTTTGGTTACAGTAGGAACCGTGTGGAAAGCTTGCTGACTCTCTTCTCTCATCGCTTTCCCTACGACCTTATAACTTTCACATTCACCTTGGAATTTGGCTGAATGCAGTTCCCAGTTCTCGTACCATCGTAATGACCAAACAATAGGAAAGGAAAATAACAACAATAATAGCGGTGAGTATTCCACTAGAGAGGATGAAGAGGGAACTTCTAATACTTGTAAGCCTGGCGTCTAACCTTACTAAAATAAAAACAGGAACACACTTGACGTTTAAGGTGGATCATGCTGAAAAGAAAGTTAGACCACGGTTGTGGGGCCATGCCGAGGAAGCAACCACGCATCAATGTCACCCGGTGTTTTGGCCGCCTTCCTTACATCTGTTCACGCTATTGTTTTCTTGCGACGTTCGTACCTCGCTTAAACATATCCATCCTTGGAAGCCTGAACAAATCAGACGTGCAATAGAAGACAGTTTGCAAAGTGATCTACTGAAGTGTTAGCAGATCCATCGAATCCCAGACGCTGCGCTTTGTTATCTTGACTTAGGCAGTACAAAAAACTGATGTTTTGTTGTCTTCAACAGACAGTTGACGTCTCTCCATAACTGCCTAATGACTTTTCATGCGCTGTGGCGTTTTACTCTTTCCCTTATAATGCGGAAAAACGGATGCCGCCGCATTCAGAAAGCAAGCTTTCAACTGGTTGGTTTCACTGGAGTTTCGCCACGATAACCTATCTGTACGCTCACCCCTACGCTCACTTACGCTCGTAGCCATTTGACTGACTGGCTGCGATACCCTTGGGTTTGGAGACAAAAGCCCACCTCCCATCGAAACGTTTGATTTATACGGTTTCTTTAATGACGCTTTTTGAATAGCCTGAGGTGTCTGCTTTAGATACGGCCCCCTTCATCGAATTGACAGAGATCAGTTCGAAGAGAGTCGTGGTCCACTTGGGAGTGTGTATCGTAATCCCTTTCCACAAGGAATACTTCAAAATGACCCTTACTACTTAGTAACACTTATCTAAGTTTGGCTCGCCCCTGTGTCTCAGAGCCTATACATACGTTGGTGGTTGTAGTCTCTGGAAGGCCAGTTCCTCAGCTACAATCCTTCAGCCAATATCCCTCAATTGGTCAGCCAGTAAGCCAGCCAGCCGGTTAAACACTGTCGTAGCTGACGTAATCTTGATGCCTTTTATAGGCGATTACTGGCTAACGTATTTGTCAGGACCCATTGTCAGCTACATAGAAATGATGCCAGACATTTGTTACGATATACTCCCAGTCATATTCAGAACGCTTCTAATGTGCATGAAATGCTGCCATTGCAGACATACATTAGCATGTGGTTGTTTTATGTGTTCCAGCTATTGCCGCTATCCCGCAACCCTCCTGGCTTCCGTATCCCCCCTAAATGTCGAACGGTGAACTTTTATCAATGAATGACAGAGGTGAGTATTTGTTTAGGCTTTCGCAGCAACATATTATATTCTTGCAATATAAAACACACTGCTGCCTTTATATCTATTGTGCTCTCCATTTGATGGTTCTCACATTTGCTTATATCTTTAACAACTTGCGATGGTATACGTATTTCCCTTCCCTTCATTATGTTTTCCTTCATCATTTCATTATTATGATCTCGGGCATAAATAAAACTTGCTCCTTTAACAATTGAGGTAGCGTATCGCTTCACGTGTACGGGTTGCAATATTTTTGACCCGGGTCTAAGTCCATGACTCTGTCTGGGCTTGGACTTCCCGGAAGCTTTACGGTCTTCGTAAGGTGGGCTGTTTTCACACCGTAAACATGCGTCAATAAACGGTATCAGTTCTTGTTATATAATCTATAATAACAGACAGACTAACCTGTAAAACACTCAGTTTCATTTATCGCAAAAGAGGAGCATTTATGCATATCCTATGTGATAATGGTTGATACTACTGTTCGCACCTCATTCTACTGGACCATCACACGAGCGCAATTTTTGGATCGTATGCATATTATAAAATAACAAATGCTAGTTGAAATAAACTAACATCGTCCTTTTGCACATCGCAATTAAGGCGTTATTTCCCTTCTGACTTAATTAGAAGCTGCTATCAAGACTGTTTTAGCGGTCTGTAGCCTAAAGGATCACAAGCTTGCCTTGTTATCCGAGAGCGCGGGTTGGTGCTTGAGTACGGGACGGACGACCCTCGCAATATCCGTAGTCCACGCGCGACTGTTGATGGATGCGCGGCAGCGAGGTCTCGATACTGCACACCGGCGTACTGCTGTTACCTACATTTGTTAAGGCTGCTTCATACACACTTTGTGAAGTTTACGGAACACTACTGCACGAAGTACTGCGCTTATATTTGTCTATTACTGCATTGTCTGGTGGACACAGTATTCAGTTAACCCACGAGGCGTTCATACTGATTGATTTCATGCTTTGATACCATCGTCATCGTTCCGATTTGGCGGCAGTGCTCCCACTCTATGTACATATCCCAAATCCCTCAATGCAATGGAGAAATATCCACGTTTGTAATGAAGATAATACTCCGTTTGCTTATCTGTGATCGCCTACTAACTGTAGGATGATGAATTTTATCGTGCTTTAATATGAATAAAGAGAACGCCAGTTCTACTCCTTTGTAAATGGAAATATGCTTACAATTGTGTTACTTCACGCTAACGCCCAGTTGGTTTCATTGAACTATTATCAATGGACTCTTGTTTTCCGACCTCAAGCTACCACTAACTTGAGAGCTGTACCGACGTCATTGGCTGTATGCCTCAAGATTTTTTAGCCACACCCAATGTTAGGCGTGCTATACGTACTTATCGTTTATTGTTAGTGGTATTTAGGAGATAATAATAAATGCGTAAACCTACCAGTTTTCATCTTCTTGGCGTGCGTTTAACATTGTCCACTTGGTTAAAATGGATCCCACCAGGAACATCTTTTACCACTTTCCATATGATACCGGATTAGCAGTTTCGTTCGTCAAGTACTTTCTATCCCAGTTCTGATGACTTTGGCTTGTCCTCATGATGGGCTAATCCCTGCTGTGTAACGGCGTGGAATACGGTGAACCGGCTGTCCGAGTTTATCACGTTCGGTTAATGCACTCCATACACTTAGACCCTGAGGAACTGCACTTTTCTCGGCTTATCGCAAATACACATCGGCTCCACACATTTGTTAGGGTCGCACAGGCAAATCCCTCTAGCCACCCAATATGCTACCATCCGTTGACCTTTGCAGTCCATTTAATCCCAACTTCCATGCTGCATACACATCCTACTGGTAAGTTCATTCCTTCTGCAATCGTTGTTTGACAGTTTCACCTGAATACGAATTGGGTTGGACAGTCTGGTGCAGTGCACATGTGGTTGTGTGCCGCCAATCTTATCGACGAAATGCTGCAATTCCGAATTGTTGGACGTTGTATTCGGACGTAACTGTGACCGGAGACGTCCATACTACGGCTGTGCTAGCGCGTGCATGCAAACTGTGGCACGTGCACACACACGCGTATAGAAGTCAGTAGAGATCGCCGGGTATCCCATAGCTGTGTTTCGGGCTACCGTCAATGTGGTAGCTTGATGTTGAGACTATTCATTTCCATGCAGTTGCTCACAGTGAACCAGACGATGTTCCACTTGTCTAGCCGATCATAACCTCATCAGACAATGAATACGTTTTACCCGCACTCTGGGAATGGCATCATAAGCAAACTGATGTAGACAAACACTATTGCTTCATGAACTCCAACAATTTTCCCAGAAGGTGCTAAACACCAATTTGCTATAAGAAAATATGGTCTCTAAGAGTGGTCGAAGCAATTAATGAATCGGATATTCTTTTCCGCTGGTTACTATCCATATCGCTGAGGATGGTCGCAGTCCACGCGTAACCAGAGTATTTAATATCCTTTAATTATGTGAACTCTGTTCTAATCACTTTGCTGAGTTGAATGAAGGCAACCCCGAAAATGAGTCGCTCGGGTTGGTTGACAATAATCCAGCATTGACGTTTATTCTACGTTACAGCTAGTGATATTTCCTGATTAACACAGAGCAAGACATCGAGCTCCAACATCAATTCCATTGATGAATTTGCTCTCTAAACGTCCTGTTCCGGATAAATGATGTATCTACTACTGTCTTCTATATTATTTCGGGGTTCTCTCTACTACTCTGTCCAGTAAATGTTGCTAGTGAAGAACGTATGTCAGTAGACCGAGAAGGCTAAAAATAGCATGCATTTGAGATCACTTACGCGTTATTCGAGCGGAAGATTAAGCTGCTTTTTCTTTTTGCCAAGTAGCAACTCATGACATAAGGATGTGGACCGTTTAAAACGAATGTGGGATAAAACTTGGGGTGCGATACTTGACCCAACTTCATAGGTAAATTCGTGCGCACTAGCAATGTCAAATAATCCTCGATGTCCGGACCATTAAAGTACCATGCAATTTGTTGGTAGACCTTTCAGCACTTTGAGGATAATACATGCAAGCATGCGATATACAAAGATAAAGAAGAAACAAGTGGGCATTAATGGCCATAGAACCTTGACATCATCCAGCGTAAGACAAAAAACAAGGGTGCTAGCGAGTCCCTGTCTGTGTCAAATTATTTCTGTAGGGAAGGTTAAAAAAGAACGGTATAACACTGAGTCATCTACACATTCTTATTCCCACGAATAGGCTTATCAACTAGCTCCTCACAATATGTAGGTCGGTACAAAGTTATTCGAGCAAGTGACACACCAGGTGTAACGAGATTCATCTGCTCCTGAGGCTTTTGGTTCTCTCCGGGATATAGTTTATTGTCACCAGTATTGTCCCTTGATCCGAATGGACTTCTCTTTTGTTTATTGGCATATTACAAGGCTGCTAATGTGCCTCTGCTATGGTGGCTACGTTGACAAGTACCTCCGGAATCAGATGCTACCAGCTATACCTGAAATGGTTGGAAATACTCCATGTCCCCTCTGAAGTACCAATTGAATGATTGAATGGTGACATACCACCTGAGTTTTCCCTACGGGTCGCCTTATTTTGAATTGAAACGGGTTAGTTATATGGAGGTTGACTTCAAGGCGAATCTTGTTCTGCACTGCGATTGCACCTGCATTGCATCCGAAACGGGTATACGCCAGGTGCAGACAAGCCAGCATTAGGAGCACATGACACCTAGAATTTATTTACAAAGTATGCCATTATTTTGTGTTATCCGCCAGAAAGCACTGCACTTCAATACTCCTTTCCATCTTGTTTGATCCCATTAGATCGAGATAGCAGGCACTCGAACTCTAGATCATTGTTATGTTAGCCGAACCTCCTACTTATTTAGCTCCCGGACCACGACGGACAACGCTTGGCGCTACGGTTAATGACTGATTGGGGGTCCTTTTAAAGCACTGGTTGTGTGAATGGATTGTGACGTGCAACCAACGGCCTCACCGCCTCAACAGCCGTTCACGTCATCTGAGTTACAGCAAGAGGACAATTTACCAGACTCAACGACCAACGCCATACACTAGTATTACTGCGCCTAATGCCCGCGCTATTTTTCCAAGTGGGTGGGCTTAGATCAACAACTAGCTTACCACCACTGCAACGTAACAAGTTTGTCTTAGCACTGCGCGCAAGTCCATCCGGATGCTTAAAACGTAGATGGTCTGGCGAGGCTGTTCAACCACCAGTGCGACTGGTCTGCACTAGAGGACGAGACACTTCTTGCGTAAGTCACGGATATGGCACCCTCCCCTATTCTTCCACAGCTGCTCAGGCAGCTCCGCATCACAGTTTCATACCGATCAACTGGCTGCGTTAAGAAAGGTTTGCAAGATCTCAGTTAGAACATCATGGGAGCAAGGGAAGGCCTCTATAACTGCTCAGCTATTTCAGGTACGCACGCTACCTCACTATTCCTCCTTCTCGCTCAGTCACCAAGTTCCCCTCTGATCGAAGAGGTCCATTCACCACTCCATTTGAAACTCATAGGCCTGATTTTACTCCTCTCGTGGCGAGGTTTCCATCTGAGTGACCATCAAGCCGACTCTACAGTCACGCTGAATGTAAGCACACACAATCTACGTTGACGTCCGCTGGCGACTTCCCGCCGCTTTTTCGCCAAGTCTATCAGTATCCTCTGCCCTACCATAGGAAATCACTCCAGGAGTCGATTTGGATGAATCATTCACTGACAGCCACGCGAAGTTCGCTACAGATGTTTGGCACCGAGTTATAGAGACCACAGATAACCAGGCTGCCTTTCAGCGTTTTTTGGCGAAAGCCACAGGAAACTGGCCCAATGAAAATCACAAAAAGAACAACGTGCAACTACCTTGCGAACAGTCATTGAAGGCCAGCAAACGAGCACTCTAGAACAACATTTAGCAACGCCATGGGAAGAGTATGCTGAACCCTATTTCCTTACACATGGCGGA